GTGTGTCGTACCTGTGTGTGACCTCATGTGCCTGGTCAGGTCCTGCAGAGACCAGAACCTTTTCCCGCAGACTTTGCAGATCTTCTTCCTCTTGTCCACTCGTCCTCCTGACGCGTCTCCTCCCTCCAGACTCTTTGGTTCTGACGCCTCCTCGTTGCTCCTCTCCTCCTTCTCCTCCTCCTCCGAGTCGCCGCTGTCTCCTCCGTCACTGTCGCCTGCCTTCGCTCCTCCCTCCTCTGCCTCCATCTCTGCCTCCTTCTCGTCTTTCTCCTCCTCAGCAGGTCTGTTCTCCATCGCCTCCTCCTTCACCGGCGAGGCCTCCTCCTCCGCCGGCGGTGGGGTCGGCGTCTCCTCGATGAGGTGCGCCCTTTCGTGGCGAGCCAGCGTGGTGGCGTATCGGAAGCTCTTCTTACAGATTCGACAGACGTGTTTGTACTCCGGCTGCTGCTTCATCGCAGGGCTGCCGGATGATGAAGAGGAGGCTGAGGAGGAGGAGGAGGAGGCGGCGGCTGGCTTCTCTTTGTCCTTCTCCTCTGGGCTCTCCGCCGCTGGTTGGGGAGCAGAGGTAGGAGGTGCAGATGAAGGTGAGGGAGAAGGAGAGGAGGAGGGTTCGGGTTGGGGGAGCTGATCTTCCTGAGCGGAGCCTGAAGAGGACGTGGAGAGCTTGAAGTCGATGAGCTTCTTGCCGAAGTTTAGGTCCAGACTCTTGTTGCTGTGGCAGTCGTCATCGTCCGTGCTCTCCACCTGGAGGAGAACATTCGTCAGCACCGGAGAACAAAACTCTGGAACGGAAACACTGGAAAAACTTAAGGCCCTCCTGCTGCTGCAGTTACCTTGCTGCTCTGTGGAGGCTGTTTTCCCGGCGCGGCGCTGCTCTCCGGCGCCCCCTGCTGGTCTGGCTGTTTGGTGGTTTCCGTCTCCTCTTGCTCTGCGTCTCCTGCGGCACAAAGCAGTCCGTCAGCATCACCAGACGACGTTTACTAAAGAGCTCTAACTCTGCCCTGCAGCTTCCTCCTCCAGCGTCTCACAGCTGCTTTCTTGTGGATGTAGAAAGTCTTTGAATTGGAACTTTGAGCCACTTTCTCATTTTGGATCATTTTGAGTCATTCTAGAAACGCTTTGAGTCACTTGTTTAAAATTCATTCTTGTCAAAGCACATGAGAGTTATTCTGGACAACTTATGTCATTGTAGACCTACGTATTGCAATGGGACAGTTTCTGAGTAATTCTGGACCAACTTTAAGCCATTTTGGACACTTCAGTCAATTTGGACATGTTTTGATCTAAGTCACGTAAAGCAAACTTGTTATTTTGGACTTTTTTTGGGGTCACTTTGGCCAATTTCTGTCATTTTGGGACAAATGTCGTCATCATCGACCCATTTAGTCATTTCAAACAATGTCAGAGTAATTCTGGGCAAGTTTTAAGTGATTATGAGTCCTTTGGGACACTTTTTGAGAACATTTTAACAGGTTATAAGCAAATGTTTTGGTAAATTTTGAGCCACTTAAGACAAATTCTTCATGGTGGACAATTGTGATGTTATTCTGTAAAAACAGGTTTGAATCATTACGGACGTATTTTCAACAAGTTTTCAGTCATATTTACAATTTCTCAGACAGAAAAATTCCCACATCTGTGATTTTTGCTTTAGACAGAAGCTACTAATTCTGAAACCATTTCTGAATATCTTCTCGACCTTGGCTTGGTTTGTGGGCGGGGCTTGGCTGTTTGTCTTCATCGGGGGCGGGGCTATCTGCGGCAGGGGCGAGGCCTGAGTCTGCGTCTGCGTCTGTCTCCATGGCGATGCTGCTGAGGTCTTGTGCTTCTGATGCGACCTGCTCCGTCTCCGACTGGCTTCCTGTGAGACACAGTTAATACACAAACAGAATGATCAATACGAGAAACTAATTAAAAACGTAAATGACACGTTTCTTACAGGACTCTGTGTTATCATGTGTAAGGACACTCGGTACACGTTGGACATGTCGATTCAGCTTTTGTAAAATAAATGTTTTCTGACCGGCGCTCTCGTGGGAACCCTCGTCGCCCTCTTTCTTCACGATGGCGCCGTTGCGTCGCAGCGTCCTGTGAGTGACGCCATGTTTCCTCAGCAGGTGGCGCTCACAGTTGGATTTGGTGGAGAAAAAGGCGTCGCAGCGCGGACACGGAAACGGCTTCTGACCTGCAGGACAAAAGACGGATTCAGATTTCTGCAGCGTCGCCCAGAAACACACTGCAGCTGTTTGTTGGTGTGTGTTACCTGAGCAGGTGTGTGTTACCTGAGCAGGTG